ACTTAAGAGAAAACGTAGCATCTTTGAATTCATATTAGCTCCTCCTTGCTAGGCTAACTATAAATAATTTGTATCAATTTGTATCTTAGTCATAAACTATCTGAAATTTCCTAGACCCATATTATTTTGAATATAGTCAGTCCATTTTTCCCAGTCTGGTTTATATCTCTCATTTGAGTTATCCTTGAGATATGCAACTATTTTAGCCATCTCTGCTAAGTTTGTGATCTTTAATATCCATTCCTAACTAGTAAACAAATCTTATTTCTTCCAATATTGCGCCACCAACAATCTAGCTGCAGTTATCAAATGCAAAGTCAAGTTGATCTCTACTGCTGTTAGAGTCAGTAATTATACATAACAAAGACATGTTCTGTTATTGTTCTGATGTATGTATAGAAACCAGAGTTACTGTTGCCTGATGCCCGACCTCTGGAACATTATCCCTCCAGAGATCAGACTGGCCCCAACCCTATTGGCCTTTCACAAAGCCTTGAAGACCTCAAATTAAATCAAAACTTTATTGTCAATGCACAACATGTGTACAATGAAATTGAATCAGCCCCTCCTTGGTGTAGTCACCCACACCCGCCCCCGCCCCAGGAAACACAAAATACATCTCAATAACTCAAAAAATGAAAGAAATAGAATTCCTAAACCAATGGTGAGTTCTTACCGGCTCGGTCCGGTTCGGCTGAACCAGTAGTAGCTAGGCGGCCTGAGTCGCTGGAACCAGCAGCCATGCCCCTGAACCGGTTCTCCCAGCAGTGCCTATGGCGCCACCATCTTGTTTTTTGCTTCTGCGCATGCACAGAGCAATTTTAGTTGTACTCTGCATATGCACACGCGTGTGTGACACACCCCTGAGCGAACCAGCAGTAGTCTTTGCCGGAACACACCCCTACCTTAAACTCAAATAAATAATAAGTAACACACATTCCCATATACCTATAAGTATGTAACATTATATTATATTACATTTGCATGAACATGTTGCATGTTGCGCTGGCCCTGCAAGTCTATCATATTAAACCAAATTGTGATGTTATGTTGCGTTCAGAAGTCTGACAGCCCATGGATAAAAGCTATTTTTTTCAGCCTATTCATTTGGCTGGCTATGCTTCTATATCTCCTGCCCAATAGCAGGAAAATAAAAAAATGCTGACCGGGGTGTGAATCATCCCTGAGGATCTGACAGACCTGATTCTGTGCCTGCCTCCTCCTCATGTTAATGTCTTTTTATTATTTTCCCAGCTGTGTTATATATACATATTTATTCATTTTAACATTTCGAGTCACTCTTAGAATCATGTATTTGAAATTGGTGCCCACACAGATTAAACATATGATGAATGTGGTTCTATTCCAACTCCTGAAAATAATTTTTGGAGTAAAGGAAAAAAACAAACCTAAAGGCAAACCACTTAAATATTGTTGCCCAGGATATGACACAGATATTCAACAAGTCCTTGGAAAGGAGCAAAATCAGAGAAACACTTCATTTCTTTTTCATACCTACCCATAAAACATTGGCTGACCCAGTCCAGCAAAGCAATCACAATGACTTTGAGTGTGGGTGGATGGCTCTACAGGCCGTCCTTACAACAGTTCATTTAGTGACCATTCAAAGTTATAACAGCACTGAAAAAAAGTAATTTAGGAGCATTTTTCACACTTACAAACATTGCAGCATTTCTACTGTCACATGATCAAAATTAAATAGCTTGGCAAGTGATTCATATTTATGAAGGTTGCTGCCCCAGAATCACATGATCACCTTTTGAGATCTTCTGACAAAGTCACAGGGGCGGGGGACGGGACCAGATTCACTTAACAACAGCAGGGATTCGCTTAAGAAGTGTGGCAAGAAAGGTGGTAAAATGGGGCAAAATTCACTTAACGTCACTTAGCAAACATACATTTTGGACTCCATTGGGGGAGTTAAATCAAGGATTACCTGGGCTTTTAAACCCAGTTTTTCCAACAGGGAAGCCAGTGTATCAAAGGAAGGGGGGTGGGTAAATTGGTTTCTCGCACCCCGAATTTCTCTGGCAGGCAGACCCAAGAAAGAGAGAAGGAGAAGTCGGAAGGACCCCTACCTGCTTTCGCCTTTCACGACTCCGATGTCAGCAGGAGCGCGCCGGCATCTTGCCGCGGGAAAACGCCCCGGGGACCCCTAAACCTTTTTGGGGTCCGGCTCGGGTCGTTGGAGGTATATCAGAAAAAAGCCCACCACCAAAAAGAGCAGCAGCAGCAGCAGGAAAGGCAGCAGCTCAAACATAGAGTGCAAGTGCAGGATGGGCATCCTTCGTGTATTGGCACCGGCGCCCCCCCCCCCCCCCCCCCCCGTACCGTCAAAAGCGCCCAGCTGACCCGGCCCGAGCAGCCACCGCGCGTCCTACCGGCAGGCAGGCCCTGGCTTTTCACTCACTTTGGGGTCCGACGTCAACTCCTAAAACTCAGCTGCTGACTCGGGTGCGTTTCCCCCTCCCACAACCTTCCCCCTTGTTTGTTTGCACAGCCGGAGGCTTCCTCTTAGGTCATTTCCTCGCCAAACGGTGACAGTATACCGGCAAGCAGCGCCTCCTGCTGGCAAATGGAGGTATCCTCCTTTAAACCAAGGTTCTGAAGAGTTAACCTCACGAATAGACTAGAATAACAGAGTTGGAAGTGACCGTAGAGGCCTTCTAGTCCAACCCCCTGCTCAGGCAGGAAACCCTACACCACTTCAGACAAATGGTTGTCCAATCTCTTCTTAAAGACTGTTAGAGCGCTCACAACTTCTGGAGACAAGCTGTTCCCCTGATTAATAGTTCTGTCAGGAAATGTCTCCTCGGGTCTAAGTTGCTTCTCTCTTCGATTAGTTTCCACCCATTGCTTCTTGTTCTACCCTCAGGTGCCTTGGAGACTCCCTCTTCTTTGTGGCAAACCCTGAGATATTGGAACACTGCTATCATGTCTCCTCTAGTCCTTTTTTCATTAAACTAGACTAAAGTGACCAGATTTTCAGATTGGTAAAGAGGGACACCTTTGACCGGGGATGGGGTGGGTGGGGGTCATTAAAATTTTTATACGGAGCAACAATATTTTCATACAACGCAAAAATAGTATTGTAATTTTTTTTTTATTTCAACATAACTACAATTTACAAATATAATACATTTATTTACATTTANCCCACCCGAATGCTGAATGAATGTTGTGTTTTATCGGTTTATTTTTTATTCACATTTTTTTCTTTCTTGTGTTTTGTCTTACACTCCCTTCCCATTAATTGTAAGCCGCCCTGAGTCCCCTCAGGGAAAAGGGCGGCCTATAAATGTCAAATAAATGACTAAAAAAAAATAATGACTATCCATATAGCTGTTTCTAGTTATAGCTAGCTATTACTCTATTTGATTTATGGACTTTTTAATATTTGCTTTATAGTTAAAGATTCAGATTTATCCCTGGACCTGTTCCTAGATAGGTTGGTAAGAAGGAGAAAGAACGGCTGTAGGCATGGGAGAATCCCCTCAATCTCCATTTTATAACAGCACCAAGGCAGTTATTCAAATAGAAATAATTCCATCTCAGGAATTAGCACCATCAACCAGGTTCATTAAAACCAATGTCCTCAATTAGTGCCATTCACTTTTGGGAAAGAATTATAATGTCCACTTGGTTTTCTTAAAGTTGTAGCACAACACTTAACAAAGACTCAAGAAAGAAAAGCAACTTAGGTCCCAAACTAAAGTTTAGGGTAGTTGGCATCTCCCTACCTCCCAGCAAAATAATGATTTCTGAGATCACTCAAACATTCAAGTATAGAGACATGTTACAGGCAGATGTGAATCACCAACACACAAATGGATACTAGACGGGTACATAATGATTGTAATAAAGACCAAGCAGTTAACAGTGTGGACAGAAATAGGGCTATGGTGTAAAGCTGGCTATTTTTCTGTATGTATGTATATGATACAACTCTTATTAGTTGGATTACTAGTTTATGTTTCAGTTCTCATTACTTAACTACTAGAAGGACAAAACATATCAGTCAATTGAAAAGCATCTGAATGTTTTATATACAGAATACTCTATAAAATTAAGTCCTTAAGAAAGAATAATAGATAAACCTTACAAGAACAGTCAGGCCACTGATTGGAGTAAGGAGGATTCCAGATACCATCTGCATAGGCACAGTAGTAATTTTCATTGGAACCTGTTGTGAAATCATATCCCTCCATGCAAAGTAATGTGCAATTAACTCCTGACCCACTTTCAGTGCATTTAAAATCACCATTCAGCGGAGTAAAGGGAATTTCACAAGGAGAACCTGAAAAATAAGATTTTTAGATTAAGGTTTGCATGATTCTTCCTCCTGCTGCATAGTGAACCTATGGCGTACTAGGGGGGGAATGTATTTTCCCAGTTTGTTTCACTTATACATCACTCCATTAAAAAATAAAACAAAATTCTTGCTTAATTTGGCAATATGCTGACATTAGAACTGACCTTTTAAACAAAATCTAAGAAACAAAAAAACTTGTTGTATTATATGTACAGAATACTCTGCATAAAAATAAGTTTTCTTTAAAAAAAGAATAAAGCCAGTGTAATGGAGAACTGTAAATTAATTGAATCCTCTCTGGATGTAACATTGCAAAATTTGGAATTCCAAAATCAGAATTCAGAGGAGGAATAATCTATAGTGCTCTTCAATGGTACAAATAATTTCAAGAATAAGCACTACAAAAACAAACCTCTTATGACAATGTTAATCTCACAGGTCCTGTTATTTCCAGCCAAGTCAGTGGCTGTATACCGAACCAGTGTTTCTCCTTTGGGAAAGAGATCTCCAGGTGAGTGAGTTTTAGTTATCATTAAGGCAGATCCTGAAATAGTCAGAAACAAAGAGGGAAACCAAGGTTATTTCATTTCCAATATTCTTCAAAGCTACATGCTTCATATTTATAACATGGAACCCCAAATAATGGTTCTCAGCCTTTAGCATCTGAAATATAATTTACAGAAAATGTAGTTTGATTTTATACATACATTCTATTAGACATTAATGCCTTTGTATATATCTCAGCCTTAATATGATTTAATCAGTCTTCAAATTCTTTTATTTTTCCAGGACAATAATGAAACAGCTTGTTCTACTCTTCTAAATGTACATTGCATTTTGCAGAGCATAGTAAATGATCGACTTTTGCAAGAAAAATATTAAATGTATTGTTCTTTATTAATGTTACTTGGCAATCCTTTAATGTGTTTCAAATATTAATGTACTTTTAAACATCCATACTTAAAATATCCTGAATTTTCTATTTTAATTTATGCTAGGTAGGAAACAAGTTAAAAGAAAGATGCAATTTATCTTCATCCTGCTATGATAGCATTCTCTACAGGAACACTTCAAACTGATTGTCAAAATTCATCCAAATGGAATCCAAAATAATGTCCAAAATAGGTAGGAAAAAACCAAACCTATGAAAAAAGAGTCACTCACCTGAATTGTCTGAAAACTGTGGCTCATCCCACTTTACTCTGTGCTCCTTCTCAGTGATTTGAATTGGTAGTGGAGATCTACATTCATCAATTACTGGGGGTTCAATGTCTGAATATTTGAAGTTATAAAGAACATTGAATCACAGAAAGAAAGAAAGAAAGAAAGAAAGAAAGAAAGAAAGAAAGGAAGGAGGAAGGAAGGAAGGAAGGAAGGAAGGAAGGATCAAATTGATTTTCCATACAAGTTTGAAATAGTTTCTCCTTTTAGACTTAAATGAAACATAAACATTTTCATATCAGTATGTATGTAGCATGGACATTTAGATCATATTTAAGACTGTGTTAAAATGTTTAAAGAGCTTGCTATGCAGCTTCCATCACAGCAGATATTTATCTGTTCTCCACAAGCCTTCAACCATCAGACACTATGCAGACCACAGTTGATCTTAAGCATATGTACCCTGGAAAGAAGCTCCATGAAGTTAATGGATGGTACGTTTTCAGAGGCAAGCTTTTAACTTCAGACATATGTATTCAATAACACTATTCACCTGATAAGAATCAGCATAGTGCTTTAACAGTGTGCAATTATGGAGTTGCAGTAGTGCAGTTAAAACATGGCCAGGAGGTTCAACAGCCCATAGATGTCCCACTATTATCTTAAAGGACTTATTCATAAAATCTTACAAAACAAGACATAACTGCGCTTTACCCAAAACAAAAGAGAACTGAGAACTGCAGGGGCCTGGGGCTTAAGCAAATATAGAATGGATGATAAAAATGTAAACTGAAAAGCAGAAATATGTTTATGATATATTTAAAAGAGCAAAAGAAATATATATTAAAATATCTGTTACAAAGTGTAAAAAAATCTGAGGCACAAGAAAAATCCCATACTCTGGGAACTGTAAAGTCAACGAAAACTGCAGAAAATCTGCAGCAGGATTTTTTGCCATTTTGAGACAATAGTGTAAGTATCAATATAATGAAAGTGCTATTTTACACTTTCATGTGTAAGTCCAGCATTTGATTCAACACAATCTTTTTAACCATTAAAGTTCATCAAATTTTTAAACAAGTGTGTGTGTATGGGGGCGGGGAGGTCCTACCAAAAAGTTATCCATTGTTACTTTATCAAAAGGCAAATGTTGACAATATGCCCAAGGTAGGCATGTCTATAATTGTTAAGCTTCCTCATGGTCCAAGAATATAATAGAGGTATGCCTTGATTTATGACAACAAGTGGGACCAGAATTTCTTAAGCAAGGCAATTATTAAGCGAGTCATGCCTGAATTTTACCTCTTTCACCACAATTGCTAAGCAAATCACAGCCATTGTTAAGTAAACTATAGGTAGTCCTCAATTTACGACCAAAAATTGAGCCCAAAATTTACGTTGCTAAATGAGAAATCTGAGTTTTGCCCCATTTTATGACTTTTTTGGCCATATTTGTTAAGTGATTCACTGCAGTTAAATTAGTAATACCATTGTTAAGTGAATCCGTCTTTCCCATTGATTTTGCATATCAGAAGGTTGCAAAATGGGATCCCATGACCCTAGGTCACCGCAACCGTCATAAATATGAACCAGTTGTCAAGCATCTGAATGTAAATCACATGACCGTGGGAATGCTACAAAGCTTGTAACTGTGAAAAATGGTCATAAGTCACTTTTTTCAGTGCCATTGTAAATTTGAACAGTCACTAAATGAACTGTTGTAAGTCAAGGACTACCTGTATGTGGCTGTTCAGTGAATCCAGCTTCCCCATTGACTTTGCTTGTCAGAAACCAGCTGGGAAGCTGCAAATGACAATCATATAACTTCAGGATGCTGCAACTGTCATAAATATATGCTAGTTGCCAAAAGGCTGAATTTTGATCTCATGATTACATGCTCATGTAATCATGTCATTTTTTTCAGTGATGTTATAACAGTTGGTAAATGAATAGTTGTAAGTCGAGGACTACTACTTGTAAAATATGCACATAATATAATATGTAAAGCTGCTACAGCAATTCTAAAGTCAGGGCTTATTTATATGAAACCTAGAGGTTCTTAAAGTAAGAAATACACCTGGATAATTTTTTGTTAAAAAGGATTAACTAATTCAATTGAAAGACTATCAGCACTACATTGTTTAATTGGCACCGGGATGCTGTATTTGAACCAGTTTAAAGACTCTTTCTAAAGAGAGATTTTTTTGTTTCTTTGATTCTTAAAAGGGAAAATATTTTTTCATTATATAATAACAGCTTTCAACCTAATGTAGTTTTTCATACTGAAAGGATGCTTACAAACCTGGAATTTGATTTCCTTACAGGCACAACAAAATGCAAGACTGGGCTGTTTTCAGGTATACAGTACGTATGACCACTTAATCAGTGCTAGGGTGAGGTGGGGGCCTGGCCATTTAATCAGTGCTAGGATGGGGTGGGGGCTGGCCACCAAATCTAATCTAAGATACTAAGGTATATATATATATTTTCTCAATAGCACTCACCAATCACTTTGATCTTGAAAGAGCAGCTTGCTTCATTGCCAGCTCTGTCAGTTGCTGTATATGTAATGTCAACTTCTCCAATTGGGAAAAGGTAGGGTGGTATAAAGGCTGGAGTAACCTGAACAAACACCTGCAACAGGATCAGTCTTAGTAAAGGTAAATGAAATACTGTAGTAAGTTCTTAGCAAAAACTGAACTTAAGTATCAAGAACTAGTGATCTAGTTCTTGATCCTAACCCCACTATCCTGTCAGAGCTGAAGAAGCTTCTTGGAAGAAACATCTTCAAAGAAAAATACAAGAAAGTCCAGTTGTATCCTGAAAAAGCACCTTTGGGACTTCATTACAAATGCTTTCAGCTCCTCCTTAATTCAAAGATGATCTTTGGTGACAGTGTTGCAATATTCATGAAATACTGTAGCATACTGATTTAAAAAGTGATTTGAATGCTACCTAAAATACATACAACTTGCATTTAAGAAGGATGAAGGCAGACTACTTGCCCTGATGAAAAAACCCACCTAGGCTGGTGAAGTAAATCCATGCAGCTATTTTATTTAGCCACGAACATAAAACACTTTTCAACAAAAGAATAAAATAAAATAAATTATCCCATTCTTTCGTTATCTTCCTGTACTGATGAACAATACAATTCACAAATAACTCAAATCAAGAGCAAAAAAGAAAATTGTTGGCCTAATCATCTTCATCATCATTTACAATTAATGTAGTAATTTATGAAAGGGCAAAGTTTATTTATGTTATTTCAATAATGACTAATATACACATTGATGCAAAACATGCTTTTCATCCTAATGTTTGCTTACCTCGTCTCCAGAATTATCAACTGCATCTGGAATTTGCCAGCTAATATTTGCTGAATTTTGGTTTTCCAGAGTTGATGTTTCAATATCATTTGGACAGCTAATTTGTGGAGGTTCAATATCTGCATACGATACATAAGACAAATTTGAGCATCTGTATTAAAAAGCATTTTCAATGATCTATTAAAAGACATTGAAGTGAAATGAACTGTAAAATTCTACACATATTATACTGAGCTAATTATTCATAACCTGAACAGAGGTTTCTGAAATTCAGATCCATTACTTTTTATTTTAATGTAAGAACAGTTCTTTGTTGTTTATAAATTATCAATTTCATGACAAACACTGTATCTGCCTAGTCATTGTGGGAGAGTAGACAGTTATATAACTTTTCTAAAATAAATAAATGAATCCTGATGTCAGCTTCTGCTTTGCTGTTGCTTCAGCTGCCATGAAACGGGGAGGGAGGGCATGGTATTTGGGTGGGGTTACTCGTTGTGCTGGAGGAATGTTCTGGAGTTCTCTGGATGGTCAGACTGCGCATGCGTGGGTGTTTCCCGCCTAAACTAACGGCACCGACATTCCATCTTCGTGA